CTGTGAATTAAGACATTATGAAACCAACAGAAAATAATAGGAATGCGGAGGTGCTGAAGAGTGTGGAAGTAACACCTAAACCACCCCAATTTTCTTTTCTAACCTATCTTCACTTTTCAACATTCTCTCCCACATATGGTGATGAATTAAGACAGGCAACGCAGGGAATTCTTACAGTTACAGGTCAATGCATTACAATAGCTCTGGAAATAAAAAAATTTTCCCTTCAGTACATGCAATATGAGATTTTTAAAGCAGTGGCTTAGTCTAGGATTCAGTTTTCAACAATTTCTGTGTAGAAACTATCACAGAATTACCCTGTGTAATTATCTTGCAGTTAGGCTTTAAGTGAGGCTCTAAACCAGCACACAGAAACAAACCTCTGTTCTGGACACTATGCAGTTAATTTATTCCCTATCTTAAACAAAAATACAGGCTTTCATTAAGGACACGGAAGCAAGTTATTACCTTCCTCCTACCCACTCCTAATACGTTTTATCTTTATTCTTTACAATCCTGGATAGCAAAGCAGCTGAGAGCCACCAGGATTTCTGATGCCACATGGTTATTGTCCCAGTTGTTTGTTCTGGTTCCAGCTGAATGATAGCGGGAGCTGTTCTGCTTCTGAGCAAAGGGGAGGAGGAGCTGCAAATTCTTCGTTTTTTAGGCTAGAATGAAAGAGACCTTAAAAGCTGTTTGCCACACAACTTACAACTCCTTTTGTATTTAATGGCCTGAAAATATTAGAGTGAATAAATGCTAATGATTTGGGGGTTTGCAGTATTGTAGAGCAAATAAAGAAGTCAGACTAGCAGTAACTTGCCTCTGTGTTCACACAATCATTTTACTTCAGAACGCCATGAAAATACTTTAAACGGACTTCTGTCAAGGCATTGTTTGAATAACAGGCTTACGTAGTGTTCAGGATTTAATCAATGTTTTCCTTGATATAGGATGTCATTTTTTCAGTGATGAGGACATACAGAATTAACTGAAAACTCTCATTAAATTTCTGCTGCAGATATCTTCCTTGCGATGCCACTTTATTCTACATGCTGATAGAAGAGAAACAAAAAGAATCTTGATCTCTGAATTACTCAGATACTGCATTTTCAAACAAAGCTGGCACTTCAGAGATCAGGGTACCGTGAATTTCAGTTTACATTTGCCAACTTTTTACAGAGCAGGATTCATCCATGTAGCAACAATAGCAAAGCAAGACTGTAGAAAAAAAAAAAAAAAAAGATTAGATGCATTGTGAGAATAAACTATCTACAAATAGGAGAAAGAGAACTACCAAAGAGGGAAAAAACAGACAACAGGCTAGACCCTCCAGATGGTCCTTACAGCCTTGTGCCATTACGGTAGCATAAGAAAAACCAACTAAGGGAGAAGAATCCTGGAACAACATAAAGCTACTGCAGAAACTCCTCATTCTGTGCCCCCAACATAGCTCAGGATGGAGGAGCAGACTGGGAGGACCAGACCAGGGCCTGCTGCTGAGAGCTGCCTGCTGTCCACTATCCAAACAGCCCCACGGGGCCCAACTCCCAGCAGGGGAGAGATGGGGGGAACGACACAGGCTTTGACAGCTCCTGTGGAGCTGGGAAGTGGAATCAGGTAAAAAATGAATAAAGGCACTTTTGTCCCCATTCCTCCAAACTTCTGCTGATAATAGTTCAGAAGGATTAAACAAACTGGCTCATTAGGACTTGGCTGGAAAAGATTGATGTAACAATCAGGCACATCATGGACAAATGAATATTATCATCTCACTTTTTAATACAAAATAATGAAGTTTTGAAAGAGACATATGCTATCACAAGAGAGATCACTGTGTCTTCACCTATACCACAGTTGAGATGATTTCTCATCTTAACCTCAGAAAACCAAATCCATTTTACCAGTTACAACTTGACAATGGTGTTCATTCAATAGCTTTAACAGTGATATATAAATGACATGTCCTTTTAAATGGGAATGAACAGTAGTGCATAAATAGAAATGCAGAAAAAAAAAATCAAAGCTGCATTTTCCTATTTCTTTTCTGACATGGAACAATATTTCCCTGTTTTTTTAACTAAACAGAAATGGATAAAATTCACTATAATTGAGTACAGCTCTCAGTATAGCTAAAAATGCAAAAAAAAAAAAACAAACCCTGAAAAATCTAAATAGATCTATTACTCCTTTAAATTAAACACTTCTAAATGGAAACTTTGCTCAGGTTTCTCCAACTTCATAGATTTTGACTGACATATCTGCCCTCATAACAGACACTCAAATCAAGAGCCCTTAACAAAAGTGTCCTTAACCATAATAGTTTTAAAGCATGACTGCCTGTGCCAGGTGAGATGAACTCTGGCGTGTCTCCACAAGGAAGCTCCAAGTCTCTGTGAGAGTAAAGAACTCATGTTGCTTGCTTTGGATGTCTCTGGTGGTGTAAATAGTGTCAGCTTTTAGAAACCACGCTAAACTAAGCATGGGGGGGTGAAAAAAACTCTGTGCCTTAGCACTCCAGCATGGGTGAAATCTAACACTGAAGTGTTGCCACTCGCTTCAAAAGGGCCAGAACTCAACCTATATAATCCAAATTTAGAAAAGTCTTCCAAAGGATTTTGAGCAATATTATTCCACCTTTAACATCTGAGGGGCAAACACGTTATTTTGAAAGGTCAAAAGGATAAAAATGGGAGCAGCTGACTACCCTGCCCTACTCTCTTTACACTGCATAGGTAGGGCTCATTCAAAACCTCTGCTTTTAAAACAGGGCACACCTCAGTGTGTATGTTCTATTCATAAGGCAGTACAAACCTTCTGCCTAGTTTAGTTGTCCTTAATTTAAGCCCTACCATTTAGGGCTCTGGGCCAGAGGTTACACACCAAAAGAAAAAATCAGGGCCTGACTTGCGATGACTCAAACCTCTCACTCGGTGCTGAAACACTTCAGTGCTCCCTTGATTATTTTGGCACTGGGAAATTATGACCCAGATTCTGGGACACTGTATGGCCCCGTCCTGCCCCTGTCTCAATTAGGCTATTCACTCAGCTTCTCTCTCTGTGCTTCCTGCAAATCGAAGCAGAAAAGATCGGTAATGAAGCACCATGAACTGCCACCAAAGAGATGTCCTGAGATGGGCCCAGGAGTTAACACAGATCAATGTGTGCCTCCTTTTAAGGCACCTTTATGCTGTCAGAGCAACATTAAGGAAATATGGTTAGAAGAATCATTTAGAATTGAATTTTATCACTTCCTGGATGGTTTTCAGGAGGTCTGTTTTCAAATGACTGAAAGGAAAAAGCATGGTTTAAGTGATTTTAGAAAAAGGAACCATGACGTCAAGAGTGTGCAGTGCACCCTTCAGCACAATGAGCTGCATTGCTTGCAGGAGGTTTGCATTTTTTGAAGGACTTTCACACAACATATTCTATTAACTACTTCATTATTAGTTCTTCTGAGAAGTCAATGTATGCTTGCAGACAGAAACCCACCTAACTGACATTAGGAGCTTTTCTCCATAACAAGCAGGAAAATATCTTGTAAATGCACACGGAATAGGAAGAACTAGCTGACTGTGCTATTTTTAGGTTCAGGTGAAAATATCACTGGGATTATTTAGCAAAGAAATAGGGGATTATTTAGCAAAGAAATAGGAAGAGGAAATAAACCAAGTCATTTAAAAACAAGTTCTCAGCAAAGAAAATTATTAATTTTACATACAGGTAAACTGCAAAAAACACTTATGCTATCTGGATATGAGAGCAGGTATCAATGATGTTTCCAATCCTTGTACATCTCAGTAATGCTTCATATTCTCAACTTCTGTATGTTTCGTGGCATAAGCTCCACCTACACGTCAACCGTAAGTCAGAAAAAATACAATACTTCACAGCTCAAGCAGGGAGAAACTTTTCCTCCTACATGTGGAATGGTGAGAACACATTTTATTTTTTTAATTCCCTTTAGTTGTTAAAAGAGGGAAAACATTTTGACTGGGCATTACCCCTTTACCCTCAGCTGGTATATTTCCCTGTTAGAGGAAGGTTTGAGGTGATAGTTTACATAACACAGCTAAGCATATTATGTAAAGATTAAAGCAGCAGGGTCGGCATAGGGACAGAAGTGTCTCATCGCCCAGCGCAGCCGGGGTTACCTGACAGCCAGCTCTGCTGGAGGTTTGTTTTGTTCCACGTTAATATTCCCAACAAACAACTAACACTTAAGTGCGGCTCTGCCTTGGCCTCTCCCACCCCTGACTACGATGCTTTCCACAGAGGCAATGCCTGCCTGCGTGGGAGGTGAGGTTCATTTACCTGGCCACAATCAGGCGACAGTGCCTATCTCCAGCCGGGATGCCGCACGTCACCGGGGCCGCCAGCGGCCGGGGGCGGTTTGTGCCACCCGGCCGTGCTGATGCCACGCAGCGGTCGAAACTACCACGGTAACACAAAGTGCGGCCACCAAGCGCCGAGGGCCCGGGCCCCCGCTGCAGGCCGGCCGAGGCACCGCGTAGCCTCGCACCGCCCCTCCCCAGGTACCGCGTCCCTCCCCGCCCGGGGCATCGGCCGCGTCCCCTCCGGCTGCTCCCTGCGGCTCCGCGGAGACAAAGGCAGGACCAGGGAGGGGGCGGAGGAGGGGGCGACTGGCGAGGGGAACAAAGGAGCCGAAAAGGACGAGAAGAGCCAAGAAAGTTGATACCGGCCTTCGCCCTGCCCTGTCCCGGCCCGCCCCTTCCACCTCCCGGACTTTAGCGTGGGGGCCCATGGCAGCCCGGCGGCGGCAAGGAGAAAAACCGGGTACCCTCACTTCCATGCCCCCAAAACCCCGGCCGAAGGTCCGGACTCGCCCCATCCCCTCCCGCCTCCTCCTTCTTCCTCTGCCCCGCTGACCCCGCCCAGCCCCCGGTGCTTCCCTTTAACGCGCGCTCCCGCCGCCGCCTCTTGCCCCTCCCCGGGTGGGGGCGCGCGCGCGCGGAGGCGGCGGCGGCGGGGGTGCGGGCGCGCGCGCGGCAGCGGCTGCACTTCTCTCCGGGCAGCGGGGGCAGGAGCGGCGGCGGTGGGAGAAGCAGCGGCCGGCGCTGCTGCTCGGGAGAGACGGGAAAGGGGAGAGGAAGCCGAGAGCGAGGAGCGCGGGGCAGCGGGCTCATGACTCAGTGAGCGGCTGCAGCCCCTTTCCAGCCCCGCGCCCGGCCGGAGTCGGGGCGACCGCGACGGATTGTCCCGCAGCTTGTGCCCGGCACCAGCGAGAGAGAGACCTGCGCTCGCCTGCAGGTAGCAGCGGCTTTCCCCCCGTCTCTGCCGGGGTACACCTACCTCTGCCCCGGCTGAGCTCCCCGTCTGCCCCCCCCCCCCCCGCCGAGCTCCTACCCCCCCCCGTCGCTCGCCATCCCTCCCCCACGACAGCACCCTCTCTCTCCCCCACGCTTATCTGCGACCCTCGGTCTCTATCTTTATCCTTCATCTTCCCTACCCTCTCCGCATCCCCCTGGTGCTGCCTGGTACCCCCTTGCCCCCCTTGTCATCCTCGGCCGTGCCCTTTCATAGCAACCGTCCCGGCCGCCCCCGGCCACCTCGGCATCTCTGGCGGCGCTCCCCGCTCCCCCAGGCTCCATCCAGCCTCCATTGCTCCTCAGCACCCCCACACCCTTTCAGCAACTCTTCCGTGTCCATTTGTCCTGCTCGCCCATCTGCGGGCGGGAGCAGCGACCACCCCCATTCCCCACCCCCCTCTGGCCCTGCTCCGCATGGTCCCCGCGGCACTCTCTGCGCCCCTGGGGAGCCGGGGTACCCCCTGCCCCCCACCACGATCGAGCCTCCTGGGATGCGCTATCCCCACACCCCCCGCCGCAGCGGTGGGCACATTGGGCTGGAGCCCCTCGGGAAAGGCACTATCCCCCACTCCCACCCCCGCGCCCCAAGGAGCCCCGCAGCCCAGCCCTCTCCCTTCCCGCATGTGCCCCCGACGTCTTCCTCTCTCAGTCTCCTCCTCCTCCTCCTCTCCTCGGTTGTCTCCTACTTCTCACCCTGGCCCGGCCGCCGCCCGCCCGGCCGTGGGAGTGCGGGGGGTGTGTGTTTCTAGGGATGCTCATGGCCCCCACCCCCTCCCGTACGGCGGGGGCTTCCCGACGGGAGAGTCGCGCGTGTGCCCAGCGGGGCCGTGGGAGCCCGGGGCTGCCGTCCTGTCCCGTGCCATCCTTCCGGGTGCCTCTCTCAGTGGCGGACCCTCCTCTTACACAGACCGGGCTCTTTCTGCCTCCCGTCCCGCGATGCTGTGGTCTCTTTGCCCTTTATGGTTTCTAATGAAGATGAAGTAAGGCGGCTGCTGCCATTGCTGCTCGTGGTGGACCCTGCAGAAATACTCAATTTATCTTGGCTTATAGGAAATTACGAGCGCTTTAGAAAGACATCATCACTAGCACTGCCGCCCTTCTGCACATTGCCAGAATCTTGGTGTCCCCGACTGGTGGATTTTTTAATTTTTTTTTTTTTTTTTTTTTGGTGGTGTGTGATATCTGATAATGACTGGTGGTTTGGGGTATTTTTGTCTTATTTGTTTTTGTTGTTGGTTTGTTTGTTTTTATTGTTGGTTTGTTTCTTTTTATTGTTGTTTCGGTTTTGTTCTGAGTTTGAGGAGGAAAGGGAAAGTGCTGGTGGATATATTTGACAAAGGCAAAATATTTTGGACACCCTTTACTTCAAATTGATAGTTGTAGTTACACTTGTAATCTCTCTCGGTGCTGATTCATCTCACGTTAAGGGAGAGACTTTTAAGTCCCCCTTCATTCCTTCCTCTGCCCCCGCTGCTCATTTTTCTCTGCACAACAGCAGGGAGGATAGCAACCCTCATCTGAATGTAGAACAGCCTGGCAGCCGGGAACCTGGACATCGTGTGTCTTCCCTCTTGCCCTGTGTGACAGTTGCAAACACACTTATGGCTCAAGGAGTATCTTGTATTTCTGTCTCTGTTGGTGGCAGAGAAATGTTTTCTTCACAGTGTCATCCTCTCAGTTGACTTTTCCCTCCCATTCTCTTACTTGTTCAGATGTTTGTCTTTTAAGTTTGACCCCATTAGAAGTGTCTAATTTCAGGCCCTTAAAACATGCTTTTACCGCAATATTGAGCATCCCTTGAACAAAACTTTCTAAAATTGCAGGTATTGTGAGGAGAGGGAATAGAAAGAATTGCTTGGATGTTAGAAAGGGGGATGGGGACAGAAGGAGCAAGGGAAAAAAACACCCAAAAGCCAACCCCAACACCCCCCCCCCACCCCCAGAAACTAGCCAGACATCAAATGACAGATTTAAACATTTTCCTCTTGTAAATGCTTGCATTACATGTTACAGTAATTATATGCTCTGGGCTACTGTTACAGTGTTTGTCTGCTGGATAGTAACCTGAACTTATGTAGTGAATACAGTTGTTTTTTGGATAATAGTAATATTTATAGCCAAGATTATTCATAGCAGATGTCCTATGCATATAAGCATTATTAAATATGCTTTTAACTTTCTGGCCTGCAGTGTTGAAGCCTATGTACATTGTGAAGAGAGAATTTTTCTCTTTAAAATTAGACGTATTAAGCAAAGGTCAGAAGTAAAATCTAGGGCAAATAAAGGCCAACATAAGTGTTACAAAAAGAGATGAGGTTGTATTTTAGCTTTATGTAGAAGCAAGGAAAGTAGTAGTACCTTTTGGTAGTACTTACTACCAAAATCGCATTGTAGTTACATATTTTGACTTGTTAGAAAGTGATATTTTTGTTGTTTATTACCTGTAAGTGTTCTGCTGCGGTACCTTGAAATATCCCAACCAGGATTTAAAGATCTGAATATCAGCCTGTGTAAATTGATGAACTATGTTAAATGTATTGTTGTAGCTGTACTATTGGAGAAAATGTTTTCTAGGAGTGGACAATTTTTGTATTTTAATTTTAGGGCAGAAATTCTGCATTATTTCAGTTACCTTAATGAGTAGGTTAGGTGTTGTGTATTTATATATATTTAGATACAAAAATACTATTTTCTGTTATAGAATCAAAAATGCAGCTTAAGCTGATGAAGGGAAACTTTAGTCACATATCTATCACTTGGTATTGCTTGCTGTTTCTTTTAATGTCTAAACATTTTGAAGGGGTGCCATACTTCCAGAATTCTTTTTCAGAATAGCTTCACAACATACACGAAAAAGACCTAGTTCCCCCTGAAGTTAGTTGGATGTGTCAATAATGCCTGAAGAGATTATTTCTTCTACTCCATAGTGTGCATTATTTGATCGAATTAAATCTTGGCAAGGGTTTTTCAGCATAGGAGTAAATTTATTTCTGTTCTGTAAGAAGAACACTTAGGCCTTTTAAAAAAGCATCCTTTTCAACATAACCCTGTTGGCATTGATATTAATTTACTTTTCTTTTGCTGTCTCTTTCCATAAATATGTACAGGGAGATGAACTTTGTTTAATCCATAGAACAAGCATGGTTGAATCTGAGCCTGAAATCTCATTATTCTCCCTTGAGCGAGTCTTAAAACATATAATAGTCAAGGTGAATAGTTTTGTTCTTAATTGTGATGATGTCTGTACATAGGTAAGAGGAAAAGCGAGTCGATGTTCACAGCAATTTGAAACTCTGTGTATGGAAGAGCAAATTCTTCATTCAGACAGATTTGATCAGAAAACCACCCAGATATATGGGGATTGCGTGGGTGTAAGCAAGTAACATTTGAGCCTGTGTGCTTTTTATTAAAAATCTCTAGCGGAGGATATGTAACATAGGTATATAAGGTACAGATTTGGAGTTAAAGGAAAGACCTGGGTTTCGCTTTGGCTTTAATTTGGTTTTGTTGGTTTGAATTTTTTGTTTGATTTTAGCTTTTTGGTTTTTTTTTTTTTTTTTAATCAGTCAGTGCCACCAGATATGCAAATTCAGTAAGGGTTTTTCATGGACATCTGCCCTTCATTAGAACAGTTTGAGAGTTTGAGAAGTCATGACAGCTGTAACAGGGGGCTTGTAATTCCTCATCTGTTGGCATATTGTTATACTATTTAAAATGAAGGAAGACATTAAAATAGCTAACTAGTATCAGAAGTGTGTGAATAAAGCATTAACTTGACTTCTGAAATATGCTGAGATTTCTTGCTGCTCATGTTCTCAGACAAGTTTGTTGCCTCGTGTTGCCTGAATGAAATGTCAGGAAAAAACTTCATTATATCCTCCACCAACATGCTCACTGCTTTAGTAAATACAAACAGTCCTGTGTTAGAGCATTTTAGTTCTGTGTTTCCATCAAGCATGCCAAGATGTGGATTTTGTAATGTGGAAACCCACATTGTACACTTGGAGTGAGCCCACAGATTTATTTCATATGGGATAACAGAGAGTCCTACGATAGTAATAACTCTCAGTTTTTAACTAGCTGTGGTAGATTTGAACTGGTGGCATAGTTGATGGGACAGCTAACTGATGGTATTGCTGAGTGGTTGAAAAACATAATTCACAGTGAATGGTTTTACACTTGCAGGATTATGTTTCCCACTTAACTTCAGTAACTTCTGGTTTTCATACATATATATGTGTGTGTGTGAAGAGTTTGGCGGGGGGATTGGTTTGTGTGTTTGTTTTGTATTTTTTGTTTGTGGGTTGGTTGGGGTTTTTTTGGGGGTTGGCAGTGGTATAGGGTTTAAAATTGCCAGCTCCTGAATTATTAAGATGCTTGTGGCAAAATTCTTCAGTATGAAGTACTGTGGCACAGGCATTATTTTATGAGGACAAAGACATATATCCTATGTATTCTTTCCTTAAGCATGTAAGAAATACAATTAGGCAGTTTCTTCTCAAAAAACTAACTTCAGTTGTTTGTCTGTTCAGTGCAGCATCTGCCATGTCTACAGAGGGGCAGAGAGTGGATGATAGTCCAAGCACTAGTGGAGGCAGCTCTGATGGAGATCAGCGTGAAGGTGTTCAGCAGGAACAAGAAAGGGAGCAAGTTCAACCCAAGAAAAAAGAAGGGAAAATATCAAGCAAAACAGCTGCTAAATTGTCAACTAGTGCTAAAAGGTACAGTGTTCTTCCTGGTTGTTTCTTCCTTTCTCTTCTTTCAGCTGGCCATCAGATCCATGTATTGACTCAGTATATTAATTTTCTGATTGTTTTATTATAATATTACTGTATCTGTGTAATAACCTTTTGAGATTGGTCACTATAATGAGACCTGTATGCTTTTCCCTTTCTTTGTCAGTTTGCCTCTTTCACGTGGTTTTAATAGTTGCTTGCATGATAAAAACTGACATTTTTTTATTGCTAATAAAACTCAGACAGTTTTGTAGCCTTATAAAATATATCTCTGTATATGTATGTATGACTGATGTTGAAACTTGTCAGTGTAACTTACAGTTAATTAGCCATAAACATTTCAGGCACTTCAGTAACTCAGCATGTTAGGACTACCGTAATACCTGTTGCCATGAAGTACTGCCTTTTCTTTTCCCAGATGGCCAGGTCAGAAATACTTGGGTGAACAACATATGTATGTTGGTTTCATTACTTTAAACTGTGATCTGTTTTAATACCCATTTATTTTCCCTCCCTTTTCTGATTGAGATGAAAGGTTGGTTTGTAGAATAGCTATTTAAATTATTCTGTGCTATCATGTCCATCTCCAGATAACGATTGTCTTGCTGGGACCAGACAGAAGGAATTTACAGCTTAGTGTTGCTTTGCTAGTACACATCGGGCTGTTAGTCTGGGCAAGTGGGATTATAGTGATTGAAGTTAAAAAGCACTCATAAAATAATCTGACAAGAGACCAATTCTGCAGACTGTCCTGATGCAGAATTCCCAGATCTCGTTTCTTTGCTAGTCCAAGGCAGTGGAGTTTTACCACTGTGATGCTGTGGTAAAGGAGAAGCATCAAGCCCCTGCTGCCATAATTTATAACATATGCATGTAGTCAGAGTCTGTAAGTAATACTATATAAACATGTGTGTACATCTAGTCAGGATTCAAGTCTTTGTTTTGCCTTAACCTGTCCCTTACCAATTAAATAAATTTCTAAAGTATCTTTAGATACTTTAGTAAAGATGCTTTAGTATCTTTTTTCTTTCCAGTGAGGTACTGTCATGTCATGCTTTTCTTCTGCTATAGATTCCTTTCTTACAGCTAGTTTTTCTTTGTTTTTAATTCTCTGGAGAAATACTTTCTGGAAGCACATTCCTACTGTGACAATATTAGGAGATTAGCTGGTCATATCACTAACAGAATGGCCAGCAAAACTTGCCTGTGTTTCCTTCTATGACAAGAAGGGAAAAAAACCCCACCCAACTTTCACTACAAATCATGATGTTATTAATGTAGTTAATCCTCACAGCCGTTATGGTTTCTGGCCATCTCTTTCGTCTGCTTCCTACTATTATTATTTTTTAAATATTAGGAATATTGCATTAGTCATGACTTTTAAGGTCATAAAAACAGTTTCCAGCATCTTTAGAAAGCAGTCTGTGTATTCTGAACTTTGTACAATGCCTGGTGTAATGATGCTACAATTCTGACAAGGGCCTGTGGACACTGTCCTATTAAAAATTAATAATGATATGTCAGAAATTGGTCTATTAATCTTAGCTTTGTATCTTCAAAGCTTAGAGCTTTTATCAACAAGCATTTTACAGTGATAAAATTACTTAAACCTTTTAAAGTTTAATCATATCTGCTTATGGTTCTGCTGAAACTAATTATGCCATCAGTTGCTGACTTCAGTACATTTGCCAGTTAGACTCTAAAGCTAGTTTCACATGTGTAGTAATATTGATTATACATTTTGGAAATATACATTTAATTATATATTTTAAAAGCTGACATGACTTATAATAGTTGTGTAGATATGTGTACAGTATTTTTGAAGAGAAATGTAATTTAGGAGTGCTGGTTGTTGCAACCCTTTCTGGAAGGATTACCGAAACAGTTGTTGTAATGGGGGTTTTTATTTGTGTCATTGTAGGGCTTTTTTTTTCCTTTTGTTTTTGAATATTCAGTAGTTTGTCATTGTGTTAGAATTGGATTGAAGGATTGCACCTTCTCTAATCTGGACAGGTTTTCATATTACAAGTTTTGTTTCTGTGCTTTTTAATTAAAATCAGTTATGTCTCAAGAAAGCTAAATCAGAAATTAAAGTAGAGGCCAAAAAAGAGGGGAGTAGCACAAAGGAAGGAAAAATGTCTTAAAGTCCTCAATATGTAATAAGTATTCCAGAAACAGTGTGAATAAAATATCTTTGTAGTAATATTCCTATTTTAGTTCATTTTGAAGGAGAAATAGTGCAGGATTAATAAGACCTTAGTCTGGTACCTTTTTTATAGTGAAAGGAGTCAATTCTGCTAAACAATCAGTAAAACACTTGAACAACAGAGTGTAGCCCAGTTGTGGCTTTGGCCAGGATTCCTTAATTCCTGTTAAAAGCTTGGAATACCAGCAAGTTCACTGGAGCTAAAGTCATAGACTACAGGCTTGATTCTAACCTGAGTTTGAGAATCAGATTTTCTCACTTGGAAAGCTTTTTTGCGCACGTGGAATTCTAGCCACAGTTTTTTTTGGATTGCGTTATGATACCTACAGTATATGGAGGAAGGTTTGTGCATCTCTATTTGGAAGACTCCTGTTTTGCTTTTCATTTGTGTGTTTATGGAGTCAGATTTAAATAATTTTCAGTAGCATGAGGTTTTATAATAATCAAGATTTAGCAGTGTGCTGAATTTTGCTTGTGTAATAGTAAACTGCTCCCATGTCTTATGTATGAATATACTGTTCACACAGCTTAACTGCTTTCCAAAGTGATCTGATTACAGAGGCTATGTGAAACCACTCGTATTTCTATTTGAGTAAGATTTTTGGTATTGAGATATGGAGTTTCTTCATTTAGCATTGCTGTGGATGGCATCAGGAAGGCAGAATGCCATCACATGCTGTCCTTCTCTGTTAATACTCCAGGACTAGCTGCTACACAGGTGTAATAGCTTACAGCGTATGTCGTGCCGTGTACCGGTCCTTCAATTTTCCTCACCCAGAGGGCATCACCTTAAATAGCAACCTTTCTTACCCAACATGTCAAGATTGAGAAACTCGCTGCATATCACAATTACAGTTCAGACATGGAATTGAATTGCTGTCCTTGAAAACAGCAGGCATCTTGTTACCTCTTAAGTAGCAAATCTTAGCATGACCTTTGGATTGAGAGAAGTGTAACCATTCTTGGCTGACATAGTAGCTCAACAAATAAATGTATTGTTTTGCTTGGCTCCTGAAGTTGCTGGTTGAAAATCTGTAAACCTTTATGTCCAATCCTGATTTTTTTTAATAAATATCTGTGCCTACAACAAATTGTGTGCATAGAACTGTACAACTTTAGTTGTAATCTTTTAATTATTCAAAGAAGTTGCAGCCTTAAGGAGGAGCAAATAAGTGATAGATTAAATTGGTTCAAAATTCAACAAAACTGAGCATTTCCCCCCCCCCCCCCTTTATTTTTTTTCCTGTGAAGTTTATCACAGAATCTGGAAATGATATTTAGCATGTTGAATATGATGGCAAAATATGGATTGCTTTTTCTTACAAGAAATGTCCTTGTCATTTATCCATCTTTTAGTAAGTAGGTGAGAATATTTCTTTTCCTCCACTATGAACCTAACCATCTTTACATCAATTTCCTGCTCAGTCACAATTTATTTAGTATTGAAATACATACCAGTGAGTGCATTTTTAAGTATGTTCTAAGTAATATATTCTTTGATATAGGGTATTGATTCATCTGGCTTTTATGGGTAGAGACACATGTAGTTTAGAAAAGCGGATGTGGTAAAAAGAGTTTATTGTCATGTAGTCCTTTATTTTATTTCTTTTCCTCTTAATAATGTTGGGAAATTCTCTAACATGTTCACATCTTTCTTAGCTTTAGAGAATTGTTTCATGAAGGAAAACTCAGTCCCTTTTGGCTTGGTACAGTAGTAAATATGTGTCTGTGAGAATTAATAATATTTGAAATCCACAATGTACTTTCACGCTTCTGAATTTATGAGTAGATTAACCTTTGCACCATTACTGGAAGGCAACTGTGTTTGTTCTTTTCTGTTAGTTAAGTGGAGGGATTTTTTTTTTTTTTTTAATATATGTGTGTGTGTATATATGAGAGAGAAGAGTAAGATGACTTCTCTAAGACCAAACAAAGTATTAGATCTGACATTGCAAATTACATGTCTTATGTGTGCAGCCCAGGGCTTTTGATTACCAGCAAGGGCCTCACCCCCTGCCATCGTCCCCATTGTCCAATATATAATAAACCATCATGTCATTGGTTTAAATGTAAACTGTATATATGTAATGATTTTAATTTAGAGGGTTTTTCCTCTCTGACATTTCTAAACATAACTGTTATTGAGGCAGAAAATCCAAAGAAACAGATGCCTGAAAGGACCCTGAAAAAAATGTTTTGTTGCCAGAGGCCGCATTTTCTCGCAGTGAATCCTCTGTGGTCAGCAAAGGAAATGAGGCACGTCCTCTCCTGTGGCAGATTCTGAGGGCAGCTCAATGGGGATGGGAGGCGAGTGCCAGAGCACGTGCAGACAAAGGGCAGCTTGCACACTGGAGGTCTCTATCAGTGCAAGGCTCTCTGGGATGCTGTCCGATGATTTAATTGTAACTTTGAATGCTGTGACATGTGAACAAGCTACGTGTCAGCTGTTCTACAGAAACTGTTTATGAATGAGCTCTCAGCATGAATGCAAGGTAAATTAAGGTTGCAACAAAAGAAATGTAAGGTGTATAAATTAATTTTAGTTTGGGACACCACAGAGCAGGAGAATAAACATGAACAGCTTGCTGAGGAGCAGTTGATGGACAGTATTGTATTAATATGTTTATCTTGTTTGTATAAAAATAGTCATGAATTACACATCTTTGTCTTAGATGTTTGCAAGTGCAATGATGTCTTTTGAACATTAATAGACAGTACCATCTGATCAATTTTTACATCTTGAAGCAGAAAGGTGGTTTGTCTGTGTCTGCTTAATCACAGAATAGCTTGATAAGGGATATTTTAGTGTTCTTGGCATTAGAAGTTTTGGGTTGAACTAGAACAGATGGAGAAAATGAGAGACCGTTTTGTTTTCAGAATGTAAGGAACGTGGGTTAGGATTTAGAAGGAAGAATGTAAAGTTTTTGATTTAGGACTGAAGTTGTTGAAGTTGTCAATCCATTCTTGATGCTATTCATACTCACTCTAATGCCATGAAATATTAACTATTCTTACTACTATATGTAAAACAAAAGAATGATCTCTGACTCCAAAAACAAGTGCAATGCCATCATTCTGGAACTTCAAAAAAGGCTGAGAAAGCAAAACAACTCATAAACCACAAAACTGAAGTTTCCGTGCAGCCTACGTTGTCTGTAGTTTGAATTTGTGGTAGTACAAATTTCAAAATCATGGCAGAATTTTGTAATATACAAAAGAAATATTTTAAGCATTCCCACAGTTATAAGATCTCCCTTCTAAAAGTTGTGATTTGTTCGGATTGTTTAAAATGGGCTAACTTTTAAAACAACATTTTTGTTGTGCTTAAAATTCACTAATTAAAAAATGGAATGGCTTTCAGTTTTACTACAATGATTTTCTGCTTGATTAAGCAGACTGTGCCTGTATTTTTATAAGCAAGTTATGATATTTATTGGAGGAATTCTGTATGCTGGAGGTACCAACATCTCAATGAGTAGAAAAAGCAAGTAAAGATCAAATTGCTTCCCCTTTACAGAAATAACTGTGTGTTTGTGTGTATGTAGGGTATGCACCAGCTCTGGATGTAGGGCATACACACCCAGCTGGATCAGCTGTTCAAGGACTTGACTTGGAAGCATCAGCCTGGGAATGCCCAGAAATCCTTAACAACAAAGTTACCTTCCCTGGAGTTAAAACTCTGGCAGGATGCCTGTCAGGTCTTTATGGGTGACCTGGAGGATATGGCAGAATCCACTCTAAAGTTTTCAGATGGCACCAAGTTGGGTGCGAGCATTTAGTACATGCAGGGGCATTTTATATTATATATGCCAATATAAATGGATGCTTATTTTGATAAACCATTTACTTTGCCTGTATTTATATGTATAGAAGTTAAAGAAAATATAAGCATCTGGAAGAGTATTTTTATCTTTTCAATGATCTCATCAGGTCTTAATAAATTATTATTACCTCTGCCTACAAATCTTGCCCACGTTTGTCCTAATTATTTCAGAATATGAATGATAAAGTCTTGAGTTCCTGGTTCAGGCCAGTTCTTCTACTGCTATTGGTCCATTTATTCATTAGAGCCATAAAATCAATTCATAGTTGCATAAGGGGAATTTTGATAGTGGCTGTGAGACTTCTTAACATGCGAGATTGTGTTTGAATTGTAGCATTATATAAAGAATTAAACTGCCCTTTTTTTACTTTATATATGCCAATATACCTGAATTCTTATTTTGATAGGCCATTTTCTTTACCTGTATTTATAATGGGTAGCAGTCATTTTTAACAAGATATGTGTAAGTCAGGCGTGAACCTTTGGCTTGTGGCTTAAGTGCCTATCTCAGAAATTTGAGTGATATTATTGTGTTATTATTTCTTTTCTAGTCTAGACAATAATAGGAGTAGCAATCTTCTCTGTGCAAGAAATCTTGTGAAGGAGAAGGCAAGAAGAAACTACTGAGAATGTATTGAATTGATTTTTTTTTTCCTTCCTCCTTCTAAATGTTAATGTTTTTGCACTGAAGTAGCCTATGAAAAAAGCCTTGGACATAGTTTATAGGGAAGGTGGCATTCGCAGTCCTGCTTATGGCATCATAATCTGGCAAGTTTTTGGGAACTGTAAACTCCTATGAGTTCCTTTGGGAGCTCTGTATCATATTCTGCATACTTAAATTTCTACAGAGGTCAAGATACTGGCTCTCATGCAGATGCTGTTGTAAGGGAAAAGAGCCCCCCCACTGCCAGCTGTGGCAGAGATCAGCTATTCAAGGACTTGGCTGGGAAGCGTCAGCCTGGGAATATCCAGAAATCCTTAACAACGAAGTTGCTCTCCCTGGAGAAAGAACTCTGGCAGGATGCCTGTAATGTCTTTATTGGTGACCTGGAGGACATGGCACAGTGCACTGAGAAGTTTTCAGATGACAAGCAGTTTGTGCACACAGGGGCAAGGCTACGGCTCAGAGGGATCAGGCCAGGCTGCAGGAGAGGGTTGACAGAGAACTCATGAAATTCAACAAGGACAAATGAACACCATGGACATGGGGAGGACTTACCCCTTGCTCAGACACACACTGAGAATCATCTCTGCTCAGAAGGGTGTGGGGGCCTTGGCAGACAGCAGGCTCAGTGTGCGGCAGTGACAAAGGCTGGGCTGCCTCCTGGGAGGTATTAACAGAAGCATAGTCCATAGACAGATGAAAGAGGTTTATCTGCCTTTACTCAGCTCTCATTAGATCATATCTGGGATAGCATTTGCCCACTTTTGTCCCCTCAGTAAAAAGAAGGCAGGTATCAGAGCAAGTCCAGCAGCAGGTCCCCAGGCTGACCAGGGAGCTGGAGCACTTCCCTTTGGGGGAAGCTGGTATCAGCCCCCCAATATGTAGGAGGTTGTGAAGTCCTGGGTGGGCTTATTCTGGGCAATTTTCCTTTGAGCTGGGGGGGTTTTGCCCTGCCAGTACAATATACATTAAGAAGCTAAATATTCTGGAGGGCAAGAACTGTAAGACATATAGTCAGAGAGGAAATAGAAAAGGATGGTATATGAGATATTTAGTGATTGTGTAAGTCAGCCAAGGAGCTGAGATTCCTGACCTATGGAAAAAGTGTGATTTTCTAGGTGGTTGCTCGTGGCATTTGTTCCATATTGGACATTCATTTTTCAGAAAATATTTGGTTTTTACTTCTACATGTTCTTGCACAGTTTCATGAAACATTATAGATCAGCTTTCAGTCAGAAATTCTAAGAATTATATATTGTTACTATTGATTGATATAGAAATGTTCATAATTTGAAAGCAACAGATTGAAAAAAAGAGTCCTGATAGTATCTTTTTTTTCTTTTAAGAATTCAGAAAGAACTTGCAGAAATTACATTAGACCCTCCTCCGAACTGTAGGTAAGTTCACCTGGATTTTATTAATTTGGAATATGGAAATGAAATGTATGGAGCTGTGGAAATTGCATAGGGGACTGAAGTAAATTTTAGTTATTCCTTTGTGCTGATCATTTAGTAATTTTGGAATAAGAGCGGATGTTGCCTACATATAGAGAATTGATATGACATAGTTTCTGGTAACCAAAGTAGTGGCATAAATGGATGAACTCTGTGATGCATTAATAGATACAGGACAAATATCAAATCATCCTTCATTTCAGATATTAAATCAATAGTATAGTATTTTGTTTGATTCTGTAAAATGTAATCTTGGTGACAGTTGCTTGGTATATTTGGTTCCTTTCTTTGCAACTTGTTAATCCACTGTGAATATAATGCAGAAAGGAGAATGTTGTAGGCACAAACTGTTAGTAATTTTCTGACTGTGTTTGTGGCAATCAATTGTGATATTCAATGGACACTTCCTGAATTAGAGTATAGCATCATATAGACCTTCTGATAGTGACTGTGTGCTTGTTTGGTTTGGGTATTTCATTTTGTTGTGGTTTGATTTGGTTTGGTTTGAGGGGTGGAGAGGCAGGTTGTGTTTTTTTTTTGTCACGAATGTTTCCTTCTGGTACGTTTAAACTTGGCTTTGAAATGAATGATGAGGTAGACCTTGAAACCCTCACTGCCTGGTGGCTGGAGCTGTGTACAGTTGTTTTCAGATGGCTGTCTCGGGCTTCTTATCTGTCAGCTTGTGACATATGGTCAGTGTTGGAGCTGGGCCAGGGCTGCACATTGCTGTTTAAAGGAGTCCCTGCTACTGCATCTCTCATGGTGAGAGGTTGGGCTCAGTGCAGAAGAATAGCTTCCACCCAGTCCTGCCAACCCATTTCAACTGATGTGGTTAGTAGGTTTCATTCTGTTACTGCACTAAAAAGAAAGATTGATAGAAGTGGCTGATTGCATGCAGCGTTTATAATGAATCCCAGTATGTTTCAGTATCGAATTAACTAAGCAACTGGTAGTAAAAATGACAGTCAGCTTTATTGTTTTGGTCTCTTGACAAAAGTACGTGTAAGAAAATACCCTAACAAGATTTGATGTGGTTGTGCTGGATCTCAAGATATAAGTCAAGTGGCTACGTACCAAGGCGCTGCTTAGTGAAGTAGCCTTGCAATAATAGCATTCAAAGAGTATTTCAGTCAATTAGGATGAACAGTTTTTTGCTGGATAAAACATTTTAATAGCTAAGCTGTTCTGTCATGCTTACGACTGTGTGTGAGTCTTCAATCACATCAAAGCTGTTTCATGTGGCAGATTTTACTTCGGTGTTGATGACTGATGCCTATTAGCGGATTGATTTGCTGAGACGAATATGAAACTTCAGTCTGTTGTAGAGGAATGGTTAAGTCTTTGAACTGAGAGTAAAAGGCTTACAGATTTTTACAGCAGTGTCATTTTTTCTGGTTTTCTGAAGACTTCTCTTTATAACAAAGCAGTTGTTTCAGTATACAAGATACTATTATATTTCTTTTTTTTTTGCTAGCAAGTGTAAAGTAAGCATTGGCTGTCTGAGTGGAAAGCCCTTTAGTGACTTGCAATTTACAAAAAAAAACCCAAGTAATCTGGAGATTTCCTGGGTTTGTTGAATTATTTACACTAATGATAAAACAGCAATAAAGTGCACTCCACAATGCTGTTTTGCAAAATCACATCTAACTTCATGTGTCTGCTGCTTTAACACGGTTCTTAGGATGCAGAATTACTTCATGTTGTGATAGATTGATAGATAACCATTAGTGACTTTAATATTAACAAGTATGTTTTTATAGTCAGTGCAGAATCACTTCATTTAGTTTATGCTTTGTTGACATAGTCTAAACAGTGTTTTCATTTGAACTTCATCTATTTTCTGTTATAGTTAAACGTTACAAAATAAATACATCAGCCAGGCATGATTCTTCAGAATGAGGAAAGCTGAGCTATTGTACAGTATATCTTACCCTAAAGTGTTGATACATCCTTTCTTGGTTTTAGTGAAATTTAGGTCATTGTTAAAAGACATGTTAGCTTTTTCTATTAAAAAGCCTAACCATATTTCATAAAGGTAAGTTCATTCCAGATGTAGGTTACTGTAAATGGTTGTGATTCCATCTTACTTTCACTATATGTGCTCCTTCATATATAAAATAAATCATGACTGGGCAATAGGAGTGTGATAATTCTGAAAACTAAATGTCATAGAAGGCATGAAGATATTATTCAAGAATACAGCTGTCTTAAGTAGCTACTCAGGAAGTTATGATAGGAAGGCTGTTGAGCTGAATTGGAACTTAGGTGGAGTATTGCAAAACAATTTGCAACAGTTTTCATTAACTACAGCAGGCCAAAGCTTCAGGTTTCTTCCATTCATGAAAAAAAGCCCCAAAATGGAACAGTATCTGTAGCACAGTAGCATCTTTCAAATTCATGGTAGGCTACACAGTCACTACAAGCTCCAAGGCAGCTGCAGCTTCCACTTAACATGTTCCATCTTAACATTTCCCCCGCCTCATCCCTGTGAAGAGAATAGACTGTATAATCTTTGTGTTTGTTTGGAAGATAAAAAAAGTCTTGCTCACAAATGTGCCTTGGAATTGGCCGATTATCACTGCTGGGACTTGCAGCGTCTTTCCAAAACTGTGGAAAGCTGTGGGTTTCAGAGTTCCTAAAAAATCTGTCAAATTGGCTTTAAAAGAAGATTTAATACTATAAGAAATTAGAGTTGCCTGCCTCCCTACTTCCTTTTCTGTAGTTTAGGTACTGGGCGATGGAGTGAGTCCTCTTGGCTTTACAAACTTTGGCTCCTTCCTCAGGACTGAGAATGTATAACGTTCTACGTGTAAAAAAGCTAAGCTGGAGTGGGGGGCTGGTGTGGGAGTTGAGCAGTGTAGTCATTGCTATTTTTGGAGGAAGGCATGTCATAAAAAAGCCTGTTATACTTCACATTTAACAGAAAGAGCTGGATGGTTTTCAGTATGTGTTGTCCCATCCCTTCCCCTATTTTACTTTTGTATTGAGCTGAATTTACTCTCAAGGGCAGTCCTGAATGCAAAGCGGCACATTTATGCTTTAAATCTGCAGCATTGTGAAATTTCAGTTTGTCAGGAGATGGTATACCTAAATTGTAGATATTTGCCACTCCTGTCTTTTTTTTCCCTCTCATTGAAATATCAAAGCTTGATTGCTAGAAATGGCACACATATTATGCTCCTGAGTAGTGCAGAGTATAGCTTTTCTCACAGGTGATAAGATCCTCATATTTAAGTGTCATTTTCCTATATTGCCTTACTGAAAGAGGGGAACAGTTGGAAATACTTACAGCTAAAATAATGCCTTTTCAAGCTTCCCCATATTTTCAGTTGCATTGTGCATGAGACAAATGATTTCATAGAATACAGTATAGTATTCTTGTATAGTATTTCCCTTCTCGCTGGCAAGAGAACAACATCTCTGTGGCAACTTATACCAATTGCTTACATGGGAAAATAATATTTGGAAAGTATTTCAATGTATTTTTAGCTTCTTTCAATGTGAACTTAGCAGCTGGAAACAAGGAGAGCCAGCATGAAGTGAATAGCAGCTCTCTGTGGACACCACTTGGAGCAACTGCTCAAAATTTTCCTGTTAAGTCACTGATATTACCTATCTTCCCCTTCATGTTTTCTTTTGGTGTTCTCTAGTGTACTTTTCATCATTCTTTTTTCTGTGTATTTACTGCAATTCCTATTACGTTCTTTACATTTCATTTCTTTTACCATCTAGCAATATCGGTGACGCTTGGGCCTCAAAAATATACTGTTAAGGGCTGTGCAGCTTAGTGGGCAGAATGACTCTTATTTCAAAACAATCAGTTTAAAATCCTGTGTGTAGTCTTATCACTTCCATTTGTTTGGAATCATTATGTTAATTCCTTGCTTTTTTATACCATGTGCAAAATTGATAAGCAGCTAGCATATGTGATTCTAGTATTTTGCTTTTGAGAACTAATACACTGATAACAGTTGTTTTTGGGACAATGTTGAGAAGAGCCAAGTGGAATGGCGAAATTTTCAGTTTGACTTAGGGAGAGAGGTCAGTGTGCCTCATGAATATCTCTTGTATTATTAGTGACTGTATGGAGTCCACCATTTCTGTTGAGTACTGCTTTGATTCTGTTTTTGCTGAAATCTTGAGGCTGGCATCTTCACCACTCCATGGGATTATGTGAATTCCAGCAATTAGAGTTATTGTTCCTGGGCCATATTTAAACTCCTACCTAGTACTACTTTAAAGCTAAAGAAATGGCACAAGTGTCAGGAGCAGAAAACAAAAGGGAGCACAATATCAGGGAAGGACTGGGAGGGAGAAGATGGTCAGCCTTGCTCTAAAATACAGAGGGAGAGAAGTGGAGGGACCTGGAGCAACAGGTGCAGCAAGTATCTACCCTGCAATTGTGCTCAGTGATTTTGATTGTTTGACTTGGGGAGGCATCATTCTGTTGCCACAGGCACACGGCTGTGACACGTGTGATGCTAATGTGTGAGCAGAATGAAAAAGTGGAGTAAGAAATGCTGTCTCTGAATGTTTTTCTTTGCAAGCATTTCCAGCCTGAATTCAGGCTCCCTTCTCATTGTGGTACTCATGGAGTTTACTGTCTGCCTGTAGAGACTTATTTTGATCTGCTGCTAGTCACCTTCTTGAGAACACGTGGCACAGAATATTATATATACCCTAGCCTGGTCTCTTTAGAATTTACAGCAAATAGCAAAACTTAGTCAAAAAGATAAGCATGAAAGTGGCTTGTACTAACTAGGGTGCAGGATCCTGTTTGTTTTAAATCCATGATGTATCAACAGCCGAGGCTAAGTGTGGGTGAAAATTTTCAGTACTCACTGCAACTGCTTTACGTTTTACTTTTGAGTCCCTTTCTGCTTCAAAAGCAGCAAGAAACATGGCCCAAATATATGAAAGTTAACACTGGAATTATATTTTAT